TGAGCCATTGAAGAACTATTGGCAACTGAAATATATCTGGAAGAACTTGGCTTCCCTAAGTGCCAACTGGTCCTCACTTTCTCTACCTGGGATGCCTTGTTTCAGAGATCAGGAAGAGCATCTAAAGCATCCAGACTATACATTTTTTTGTTTTTTTCTTTTTTTCACATGAGTCCCTTAGCAAATTACACCTTCTAGGGCATTAGGTAGCCTGTTAGCAGCCTGAAGGAGTTAAGGAAATGAACAATTTCCTTCTGGTTCCAAGTCAGACAGGCTTTTTAAGGTAAGCTGAATGACTTCCTATCCAACAACATTTCTTTAAATGTCCTAGGGATCATCATTGTATCATTTTTCCTCAAGAAATGAAGCTGTCGGAAGGGTCACACTATGTACTTGCCTGGGTGATGCGTGTCAGGCGATAGTGATGTTTATGCATACATCTCAACCAAGACTAAAACTACAGTATAAAAATAAGAGGTGGAAAACCTGTCAGTAATTTTTTTAACTTTCACTTGATTAACAAATGTAATTGTACTACCACTTTGCAGTTCCAATTCCCCACCTAATAAAGGTACACTTTTGACTTTCCAAAAAGTCCTAGAAAGCTATTCCTACATATTGTTCCACGAAAGCAACCAGATGGGCTCAATCTGGCATTAAAATGATATATCCTAAATCTAACAGCACTCTCAACAGCTGGAGGGAAATTTGAAATGACATAGTTTGAACCTTAACAGAAGATAATTTTATCAGTCTTTTCCCCATCCCCCCTTTTCTACTACTAGCATGGCACTGCTATTACCCTCTCCCAGACTCTCCCAGAGTCTTAGGAATTGTAGAAGTCTACCTCAACGGTCAGAGGCATTTGAACCAGGGCGACTCCATCTCAAATAGGCACTGGGTAAAATGAGGCTGAGACCGGCTGGGCTGTATTCCCAGGAGATTAGGCATTCTTAGTCACGGTCTCTCTCTCTCTCTCTCTTTCTCTCTCTCTCTCTCTCTCTCTCTCTCTCACACACACACACACACACACACATATATATACACGTGTATATGTATATATATACACGTGTATATGTATACATATACACACACACATAAATATAAATATATATATTTTTTTTTATTTTTATTTTTTTGAGATGCTCTGTTGCTCAGGCTGGAGTTTGGTGGCATGATCTCAGCTCACTGCAGCCTCCACCTCCCAGGCTCAAGCAACCCTTCAGCCTCACACTCCTGAGTAGCTGCGAATATAGGCACACACCACCATGCCTGGCGAAGTGTTTTGATTTTTAGTAGAGACGAGGTCTTGCTATGTTGCCCAGGCTGGTCTTAAATTCCTCATGTTGTACATACCTAGAAAATATATTCAGCTGGGCGTGGTGGCTCATGCCTGTAATTCCAGCACTTTGGGAGGCCGAGGAGGGTGGATCACCTGAGGTCAGGAATTCAAAACCAGTCTGGCCAACACGGTGAAACACTGTCTCTACTAAAAATGCAAAAATTAGCTGGGCACGGTGGCGGGCACCTATAATCCCAGCTACGCGGGAGGCTGAGGCATGAGAATAGCTTGAACCCAGGAGGTGGAGATTGCAGTGAGCCGAGATCACGCCATTGCATTTCAGCCTGGGTGGCAAGAGTGAGACTACATTTCAAAAAAAAAAAAAAAAAAGAAAAGAAAATATATTCACACAATATTCCTACCTTTCCACCACATGAATCAAATGTGTCGTAACAAACCAATCTGTTGTTGAGGGAAAAAAAATAAACATATAGAAGTATTTCTGAGTTGAAGATTCAGCTTTCTATGATGAATCTATCTATATATCACCACCATGTGAGCCAATCCCCATATTTATTTCAGTGGTTCTATGAAACTGATATCTGGATTTGTATCTTGTGCACGGTGTTTAGTGCAGCCACAATGTTGGTTGTTGGTACATTCTTCTGGTCTATAAAATGTTATTTCTTGGCAATTCAGTTTTTAGTCTTTTATCATTGTTTTCTTCTAAACATCTTAAAGCAGTTACTTCCCAACATATGTTTGGCCTGAGTGCTAACCAATCTTTTCCTAACATTTTGGGGTTACTAAAAGTATCTAACATTGAACAAGGGTATCTTGATATGCTGAAGACATTAATCTGGTGATTTTTCTGTATTATGTAATGAGATAGCTTGGTGATAATATTTTCACTTTCCATATGGGGAAATAAATGATAATTACTGCTTTACTACCAAACTCTCCAATGTTAGCTGGAGCCAAAGCAAGAGATAATAGTTGTGGACCACTCTTCTTGCCTCACTGTAGCAGTTCAGAAGTGACAGTCACAGCTTCTAAACATTACCATTTAATTTAAGCAGTATGAGTCTCTTTGGTGGGGGAAAGGAATGACTTGCTGACAGTTGATCATTTTTTTTCATTATGCTTCAGAGAGTAATTATAGGTCGTTACATACATTTAGAAACCAGTCTATGTGGTTTAAGAAAAGATGGAATTAAGGCCATGCAACATTATGTTTTTTAAATTCAAAATCAATATAGATTTAAAAACATGTGACACTTAGGATCTTTCTTAGGGTGCAGTGCACTAAACACATAAAAGTGTATTAAAATGTGGAAACCATATACCTTTCATTACATTATTCTACAGCTGTCATTTATTTTATTTTGGTATAAAAGTAATTATTATTCTGAGCACAATAGTATACATTTCCTTTACCCTGCACCAGCACTCCAATTACAATCTACTCCAATTCAGATTAATCATGCCAAAATGGCAATTTCATTACACTAAGAGTAGATCTTAATAGTTTAATATATGGCTATACTTTCAATGGCTAAAGCTATGTTTAACTACTTTAGAGACTTTATTAAGATTAAAGTTAAACGTAATGCATCTTAATCAGACCTTTAGTAGAAAACATTCATTACAAAACATGGTTGACGATGGCCTATGTAATGCTTCTGTGGATGCATTAAACTCCACTGTTAGCTTTCATCTGAAAGGCATCTAATAATGGGAAGATGTTTACTGATGTAAGATGTTTCTATTTATTTTCAATTTTGTATTATTATTTACCATCAGCCAGAATGCAAGATTATACATAGGATTACACTTTAGTCCAAGTGACAAAATACAGTGTACAAGAGGAAAAGAGTTTATTTAGGTAAAATAATACATACCTGGTTTCAAACAGATTTAACCCAATAGCATATAAAAGGAGTCACCAGTTCTAATTATATAGCATCTTTCTGTGTCTTATATAGGACCTTACTGGATTAAGAAGTTATTAATGCCCCCCTAAAAAGAACTGCTTATTTACTCCTCAGCAACAAGAAGGCCTGTCAAATCAGGCACTGGTGGAGGAGAAGTAAAAAATTGTAAGCCTTCATATATTCATTTCAAGGTTACATCGTGATCTTTAATCACTTCCTTTCCTCCAAAGTTCTGCAATGGTTAGTTGTTTTTTCTCAAAGAAGTCAAAAAGTTTGCTGTAGTAACTTTACATTACAGAAATAATTTATGTTTGCTTAATTATCCTTTTAAGTAAAAATACGTGTTTCCTGGGCCAGGCGCGGTGGCTCACGCCTGCAATCCCAGTACTTTGGGAGGCTGAGGCAGGCGGACTGCTTGAGGTCAGGAGTTTGAGACCAGCCTGGGAAACATGGAGAAACCCACTGTCTACAAAAAAAATTAAACTTAGCCCGGTGTGGTGGCCTGCGCCTGTAGTCCCAGCTACTCAGTAGGCTGAGGTGGGAGAATTCATTGAGAATGGCAGGTTGAAGCTGCAGTGAGTTATGACTATGCCACTGCACCCCTGCCTAGGTGACAGAGTGAGGCCCTATCTCAAAAATGAAAAAATAGGGAAAAAAAGTGTTTCCTAATGTGTGCATCTTTTTTTATGTGTGAAATCAAATGGCAGAATACCATTTCTTTAGAAATCACCTTTGGTTATTGTACAAATCTATATTTTGGATTTCTTGTGCACTCAGGTACACAACTGTGTTCTGGCAAACCACATCAGATTTAGATTCAAATAGAATGAATCTGAGAAAATTCTAAATTGCATTTGAATAGGTTGCAATGTTAATTTATATCTCCAGTAAAATTTGGAAATCATTTTGTATCCTACATGCTGTACTATTAACTCTTGGAGGGTAGGTGACATATCTTAAGTGCCAGTGAATAGCACAGAGCTTAGAACTTACATTAAATCAATTAATCTAGAAAATTTTTCAACCTGAGAAATTTCTTGGGTCATTGATGACATTGTTCAATCAATTGTATCTCCTCATTTGTAAAGTGATGTAGCAGCTATGCCTATCAGTGTTTTCTAATGAAATCAATACATAAACTTATCAGCCAATCAATCAACCACTTAATCTACTTTTGTCTCTCTTTGTTTCCTCTTCCAAAGCATCTGGCAAATCTGTGCCTCACGGTTTTACAGATTCCATGGCCTTGATAAAATTGAGCACACATGGGACATAATCAAGTAGGGCAAAGAACTAGGTCCACCCCTAATATCAATCCCAGAAAGAAAGAGAAAAGAAAAGTTAATGAACTTCCTTTGCCTCTCAGGTATACTTTACTTGCTCTTTAATTTTTGTAAGCAACTGTATTGCAAAACTGGGAGAGTGTGAAAAGCAGCTCAGACTTTCCCATCAAATCTATGTTATATCATCAGCTGCAGCCTGGGCCTTCTCACCTTTGGCCCCTTGCCAAGAGAGGAGGTCCGATTTTGGAGAAGAGGGTAAGCACTACACCTTCATTTACTTACTTTAGGCAAAACAGAAGTATTTACAATGTAATCATCAGTTTTGATAAACACTTTTTTGAAACTAATCAATCTTTAATTGAGAGCCAAAAAGCCTCCTTTCACCTTTGGTGAGATGATTACACTTAGTTCAGAACCCATGAAAGCTACAACCAGTGATACACTGCTTTCTTTAAACAAATCAGTTTCAAATGTAGAACAATTTGTGCTTTTAAAACTTACGAGGGCTCCTCTGACACAGCAGCTCCTTCTTCTAGTTCTTGAGCTTGTTTGAACCATGGCAACTTGGCCTCGACTGGAAGTTTCTCTGAGAATTCAGTGAGTGCACATACAAGAGAAGAGGTTAGAACCCATCTGGGATTTTAGGAAAATTCCTTATTCTCGTCACCAAGAAGTTACTATGTCGACAAACATGAATAATAAGTTTTTAGGTAAATTGCTGCCTCTGATGATGGTTATATCTAGAAAAATAAAATCGAATTTTAAAATGTTTAATAATACTAGTTTGTGTACAAGTTTCCTCTTTATAATGATTAATAGCAAAGGAAAATCCTTTTATTATGAAAGTTGTAAGTGTAGGAGCACTAGCTCAATATGCATATAAAGAATCATCGAAGTGTCTTTTCACCATTTCCTCTTGAAAAGGTAGAGCAGCATGTACCTTGGAAAATAAAGTACAATCAATTATATTGTGATACTTTCATAAATTCTAACTTTTTTTTTTTTTTGCCTTTTAGCTAAGTGTGATCTATGTCACATTGCCAAAAACAAATTCTGTCACTCTGAAATTCACAAACCATTGGTTTAGATATCTGACTCATTCGATACTACCCCAAGGCTCACTGACAACTGGAATATGTGCAAATGAGGGCTCATAACACATAATTTGACTTATTTCGCCTATTTATCTATCTCTGGCCAAACAATTCAAAACAAACTTCTAGTTACTTCCTGGGAAAAAATTGGGGAGGAGAAAAATGAAGAGGGAGGTTATAACTGCTCCTACAGAAGTAACTGCCAAGATTCCCATTCTAGCATATTTATTAGGGTCATTTATGGGGATATTTGCCCTTATAGTATGAGCCAATGACGCTCTATCACCATTTTATAACATATAATTGCAAGGATGAAAGAAATATGTCTATACATATATGCACCATAGAATTATCTGGTATTTTAATGATGTTTAGAGAGCCAGGCTCACTCCTTAGTTGTGAAAATCCAGATTGATTCTTGATAGTTAACTGCAAACTGCTTTTCTTTCTGTGAAGTGGCTTGGTGAAGATAAAGCTAATAAATAATTGACTATTTTAAGTTACAGGCATCACTTCTTGTTCTCTATGCACAACAATTGTTTATAGTCAAAAAGCAAAGCAAGTGAGAAATGTAAAACTGCCAAAGCCAAAAGGATTTGCTCACATTTTAAACATAGCAACACAGTACCTATACATACATCATGTTACAACTGCCACAACTAACCCAGGAAATGACTCAGTCGGCCAGGCACAGTGGCTCATGCCTGTAATCCTAGCACTCTGGGAGGCCGAGACGGGTGGATTGCCTGAGCTCAGGAGTTCAAGACCAACCTGGGCAACATGGTGAGAAACCCCGTCTCTACTAAAAAAAATACAAAATATTAGCCGGGCACGGCATCATACACCTGTAGTCCCAGCTACTCCGGAGGCTGAGGCAGGAGAATTGCTTGAACACGGGAGGTGGAGGTTGCAGGGAGCCGAGATCGCACCACTGCACTCCAGCCTGGGCAACGGAGCCGAGATCGCACCACTGCACTCCAGCCTGGGCAACAGAGCGAGACTCTGTCTTAAAAAAAAAAAAAAAAAGACTCAGTCAATGAGGCTGTCTCTGATGGCGTAAGTTAGCTCTCTGTCTTTCAATAAGGAAGCATTCAGTTTGGCACTAATAGTAAACTTGCAATACTTTATTGTTCTTTTGAACTAAATCCTGTCAGACACACCTGTGGCAACCTCCTCCCACAGTTGAGGTCGCTGATGATAGTCAGGAGTTAAAAGTAACTTACTGTATGTGGAAGTTACTATATTCCAGGCACTAGGTTAACCACCTTGTTTATGGTATATCTTATTTAACCTTCACATAATCTTTGATTTAGATACTATTATTATACCCATTTTATAGAGGAGGAAACCAAGGCTTTGAGAGAGGTGTATTTATTAAAATAAATCAGGATTTCTGAGGTTTTTTGGTTTCCTTTTATATCATTAATTTAGATTTTATGATGCCATTCATTTGCAATTAGGACTACCTATAGTATAATAAAGAGCTACACTGTGACTGATTTTCAGAGAAATTTAATGGCTTAAAGAAATAAAGAAATGGGAGCCATATTTAATATTAAAAATTAAAGGAGATTTAAAGAGTTATTTACCTCTGAATGGTTTGTGATTTTGAATTTTTCTATTCCATTGGCACAGACAAGTAACAATACTTGTACAGAAATCAAATTCGTATTCTTGCTAATCTGAGACACCCAGTGTAATTATAAGAAGTCTGGCTCACTAAATGCTTAGTTCTACACTTCCCTAAAATTTATTTTTATTAATTCCTGCAATATCTATTAAACTCTGATATATTTTAAGTTATGGTTCTAGAATTCAGTCTCATATTAATGTTTTAATTTTCAATATAAAAGCGATAGTTTTCTGTTTCATCAGTTTGAAGTATGAGACTTCCCAATGTACTTCAACCTTAGCAAAACAGACATACTTGGGTTCATTCCCTTGTTTTTAAAGGCAAGAAATGATAGTAAATCAAACATATATTTCTAGGATATCTGGTCTCTCTTTAAGCAGATACATCTGCATTCTTCAGCAATAGTCCTCAAACAACTTTATGACTTGGGAGATAATTATATAAATATATTTCTACATGTAGTGGTTAATGAAATTTTGCAATCAAAATCATTTGAAAGATTCTTTAAAAGAATCAAATTCCTTTAGTAAAGTTATAAAGAATTGTTACTAAGAATACTTGGGATACTTAAAAATGTTCTAAGGAGTTTAAAACACATCTGACTACACACAACAATTAACAGGCTGGTAATAGAGCACCTGTCAAGTTACCTTTGGGTTTATAGCAGGGAGTGGGTATGATGCATTCCTCTTTTATGTGGGGCTTTGTTTTTGGGCTACAGCCTCCTGTGTGCATTCCTCGATGGTCGATGCAGAGGACCACACGGTATCTGAGGCCCTGGCCACATGTCACCGTGCACTGGAAAGAGATTGCAAGAGAGAGGAGACTCGTAGGCAAAGCCTTGTTTACTTTTCTTCACTTTGCACCTAAAACTTTTAATCTAAGTTTTCTTTTCTTTTTTTTTTCCACACGAGGACTCCTGGTAAACTTACACCATTTCTTACCAGTCAAGGGGATCTTTGTTCTATTTGGCTATTTGAGGTGGAGCTCGCTGAAAATTAAATCACTTTCAATTCCATAGCTTTGGATTAATCAGTCAGCAATGTTTAAGTACCCACTGTGTGCAAAGTCTCAAACCAAGCACCAAAAAGAAGAAAGGAGAAAAGAGACTGTAGAGTGTGCTTAATTTTGATTACCAACACCGTATTTTATTTAGTTACTTTGCTAATGACTGCTACTTCCAAAAATATGGGAAATACCTCCACATGGATATGAAAAAATTTAAACTGCGATTATAGCTAAATTATATTGCAGCATTGTCAATCCAATTGATTACATTGAAAGGCAAAAATAATATTTAAAAGAACAGATTGAATGACCAGATGCCCAATGTAGATTGCACCTCTAATGGTTCCCCATGTCTGGTAACGTGTCTAGATGCAGAAAATGTCACAGCTCTGATCTGCTGCCACGAAGCCACAGGGCTCAGTGAAGAGTCTTTTGTCATTTCTGAGGCTGAGGGCACAATGGCTTATTTCATCTTTCTATTTCCTTTGCCACTTTCCTTTCTGCATTAGCAGTCAGGAAACCCTGAATGACATTTTATGTTTAATTACGGCAGGTTTCCTAACATCTGTAAGTTTTTTGTTTTAATTATCTTACTTCATTCCAATTTTAATTTTTGTGCTATTTTCATTTCATCTTCCTCCCTCCTCCAATGACTAATATACATAGTTTTAATATCAATCTACTTAGACCCTTTTGGATACAAAGCATAATACATACAAAATGAAATCAAACTTCTGGTCTACTGAGCTCTATCATCAAAGCAGCTTTTACAGATTCAGGATCAGTCATTCAGCCTCAATTACCCTTGAAAGGCAGTTGTTTCCCCTTTGCCATTTGAGGGAACATTGTCTGGGGAACAATAGAGGCTTCTTGAAGAAACTTGAAGAAAGACATTTTAAAAAAAACATCATTTACTTTTGGTTATGCTGGATTTGGGGCATTTCTACTCCAGGAGCTAAGCTGGTAGGCTTCTAGACACCTCAAGAAGTGTGGAGCTGCTCAGGGTACCCGGTGGGGCCATGATGATGAGAGGGAAGAGTGGACTTACTCTCCTAATGAACAAAGAAAGAAGGCACAGTTACCGGAGACCACTCCTGTGCCAGCCATTTAGGGCAGTCAAAAATGTTGCAGGGCTGCGCGATGGGCATCTTAGGGGTGTACATGCATTTCCACTCTTCCACTGAAGTGACATGCCCCTGGATGTCCTCCTCCACACAGGAAACTGCCCGGCTCTGGATGCCCCCCCCACACGAGGAGGAGCACGCGGTCCATGGGGTGGCCTCCCACCTACAGAAGCAAGGGGAGTCATCAGGGCAGACATGCACATTGCTAAGCCTCCTCCGTGACCGGTCGACCAACCCATTCCCCGTGCCTACTGGTAAAATCAGGTTCTGAGAGGCTAAGGTCCAGAGAACCAAAAGCCATCTATTGCCCGAAATCTGATGAGTGAGAGAGAAGGATTCAACACTGGCAAAAGGGCTCTGCAAACCGTGAAGCTCTACACAAATGTAAGCCATTACAGTTCTGAGAGCTGTCCAGAAGGATATCTGTGCTGTCTGTAACCTACTCAGAAGATGTAGGATGTAGTTCTATCCTTCTCCCATAGTTTCAAGATATGTGTATATAAAATTTATTTTCATTAAGCCCATTAAGTATCCATCTCAAGACTAAAGTGGTATACTCAGTTAACACTAATGGTTTGCACCTGCAGATACTTTTTATTTTCAATGTAATACTTTATTACTTAACTTCTAGGTATTTTTTTTATAATAGAAGCAGCTCATAAAAGATGAAGGTAAACAAAAGACCCTCTCCTTTGCTTCTGCAATCATCAGCTTTGGGACCACATAGATTCAGCACAATTCTGATGTTCAAACTGTGCTATGATTATTAAGCTGAGGAGCAGAAGTGTTAATATTATCTACATATTCCCTAACTGTTCAGGGATACTGGTAGTTAGAGTTCCTCCAGTAAATAACTCTTGGAACTGTGAAGAAGTTTGGTTTGGGTTGGAAGGCTAATGGCATCTGAAAGTAGATACATAGTTAAGTAGGGTAGAAAATAACAATATGTCAAAACATTTAAGAGACTTCCACTGATTTTTTTTCAGAGCTTTAAACAGTTCTGAAGCATTAGGTCCCAGATGCAGAGAGAGATCTTTGCCAAATGCTCTTCTCTCCTCCTGTCGCTTTAGAGAATGTAGAATTTCTAAAAACAGAAACATTGGGACTGAGTGAATTGAGATTATCTTTTTTACATATATTCTGCTTATTGATGAGGATTGCTAAGGAGATTTAAGATTTCTCTTAGAATTATGAGAGATATAATTTTAATGAGAGAAACAAAATGTCACCGGGTTGATCCATTTGAATAGTTAAAATTTTAAAATATTGCACAGGTACACCATCGAGACATTAATTATTCTGTAGTCAAGTTTTCTGTATACATTGTGAGTTTGATTTCTCTTCTGCATAAGCCTGAATCATGTGTTTTTCCTAGTTACAAAGGGTTTTCCTTCACATTTTCTCTACACTGTTAAAGTTTAGGCAACAACTGTTATCTCCACTGCCAAAAGCCAAGAAATGCTGCCAGATACAATATTTTCCTACGTGTATTTCCCCAGGAGACACATAAGAAAATGTCATGGTGGGGAAACTGAGGCCCTCTGTTTGGCCCTTGGGAGACCTTCTGATCTCTTTCAACAGAATGAAGTAGCTCTGTAGAGAGTTTCTCTTACCAAGGGGTAAGACAAATTCTCCTTTGTCTCCACACAAATCTCTGCAGGGCTTCCTTCTGGAGATGAATAACAGGCCTGATTCAGATTGAAGTTGGGTTGAATATGTAAGTATGTATTCACATTAGATTTGACCTGACAATGAAGTAGGAATATGTTTTTTAAATGTACATTTAATCACTTAGAATATTAAGATGCCATAAAAGAACACATTTTCTAATTGGTACTCTAAAATTCTCAAGCTTGACCCCACTGAAGGGAGAGTGATTAATTTCTGTCTCAGCACTTGGACCTGACCATAGTGTAATTTCACACATAGCAGTAAGTATCTTTTTCAATGTCCGTGATCATAGAAAGACAAATGAGGCTAATATTATCTAAAAAATTATAGTATGGTTCCAGCATACAACTACAGTTCTATGTGTAGAAAATTATCATGTGAATCCTTGTATAATAACAGGGTTTTGTTGAATCTTGAAGTAAAACATGTCCGTGTGCTTTAAAGAAAGCGTAACAAAAGCTGAGAGAGATCAGGAGATCTGAAGATGGTAACCAGGTAAGTGCTTGGAAAAAAAAAAAAAAAAAAAAGACATATTCAAGAATCTTATCCTGGAGAACATTGAATGAATTTATATATCATACATTTAAACTCTTTTGGCCTTTAATTTTTTTAAACACACAGTGTGTTTAAGAAATTCTCAAATAAAGCAGGATGCACAAGAGTGACATATATTAATTACGATTATTCAGACTACATCCTCATATTATGTCCAGATATGTGTTACAGTCAAAGGCTGAAAGCAGTAAAGAACAAGGTAAAAATATGTTAATTGTGTTTTATATCTATACTTGTGTTCTTGACCCCATTTAAATAATTGAAATTGCCTTGATTAGTAGGTAGCTGCCATTCGAGAACCATTTTTGAGCCTTAATTCTTCTTATGAATGAAAACACAGCTGTAAAAATAGCTTCCATTTACTAACAGTCTGTCAATATAGCTGAATATCTAACTTTATAACTAGTTCAGTATCAGACATACAAAGGGGTAAGAAATAAAGTTTATTGTTCTTACCCATTGTGATACATAGATATGCCAAGAGTGTATACAAGGACATAGTACAAACACACACCCAGGAGGATCGTTTTAATATATCATTGGGATTTAGGCATTTGGAGAAAATCCCAACCTATAAGAAATCAATTTTAACCTAATAAAGGCATTAGTTATGCCAGAGAAATATAAACAAGAGAGATCACAGATAAAACAGAAATCTAGGAGTTGTCATTACATAAAACATAAACTTGATGTTGCTTACTCCTGATGTCCAACTTTACCTTTATCATGAAATAATGAAATGTATGGCTTTCATACAAACAGATACGTATATCCTATGAACACTTAGTTCACAGATACACAAATTGAAACCAAAGGAAATCTTGGTTCAGTTAAATTAATCTTTGCTATTTTCATTAAAATTTTTTCAAGGACAAGAGTTCTGGATAAAACCAGAAAAATGATGCATTAGGAACATTGTGAAGACATTTATTGTCTTTATCAATATAGTCATAGGAAAGTAGGAGGGAGCTGACTAATGACATAGTCACGTAGTGAAAGAATTAAAAATAACAAGAAAAACAAGAAGTATATCTAGTAAAATTCCTTTCCTATATGTGATCATTAGGTGAAAAGTGAGTTGCCTGCCAGTCGCTAGACATATTTAAGTAGATGCTGGATGACAATTTTCACTTGTATATATGTATTATATAAACATCGATAGATGTGTATATACATGTGTGAATACATATGCATTGAATATGTGAATGCATATTTGTGTAAATATATATTAAACATATCTGTGGTATATGGTTGTGATTGTTGGAGAAGGAATGGGAGAATGAAGCATCAATGGGGAGTTGCACTAGATGACCTCAAGGGACTTCTATTTGGATTCTAATTCATTAGGTATTTGGAGATTTTTCCATCAAATCTTTACAGTTCAAAATAAAATTATTTTCTGGGCTTGGTTTAATTTGAGATGGAGCAGGCTGCTGTGGATTACTCCAACCATTCATGATCTGATTTAAACCCTTGGTTCTAAATAGCAGCTGATTCCCTGAGGGCCAAATAAGCAAAGAAAATAGACCATAGGTCTACTTCAATCCCAACTCTAATTTCTGCTCTCTGTGGAGCTGTTTCCAATGCAGGCAACACACTCAGTGGCTAGCGGATTTTTCAGCTTCTCCAGTTTTCTTATGAATATATTATAAAGGGAACAATTTCTTTTAAAAGTTCCTGAATTACTTTCATTACCTTTTTTCTAGTTTTTAAAAGTACTGAACTTTAAAAAAGCAATGCAGCACACTGAATTTTGTTTAGAAAAAATGTTCCCCAAAATGTTCTGAACAATTAGAATATAAAAATTTGCCTTTTGTACTTAATTATAATTTCTTTGAATCAAAAGTGGACATTTAAAGCCCCTATGCAGAATAATACCACATCTGGAATTCCATGTTAGTGGTAGTGCAATAATACTTTAGGCAGTGTTTGTTTAATAGTTAGCAACAGTGCTTTAATGACTAGGGTCCTATTGAGAGGAAAAATAGAAAAGAACAAAGGGAGGGAAAGAAAGACATAACATAAACCCATACACTGTATCTAATCAGAGTGAATTACTGTGTTCACTCCAGTGTAACTTGATTCTACCTTAAAATGGTTTTTGAATGATAAGCTTACAGTCTGAGCAGGCTAGTATTATACAAAAGCAGAACTCAGGATGGATTGCAAAATATACCATCTACCATCTTAAAAACATATAATCTCTCTCTCTTTGTATATGTATATCTATATATATATCGATAAGCAGCAGAAGACTAATTTGCTAATTCTAACATCAGGATGATTGATTTACGTACCGAGGAAGGGGATGGTAGAGGTCATAAGGCATGATCTGCTTGTATCCGTCACTGTTAGGAACAATAATGCCAACCCTCTGAGTAGAAGGTACACACAATAAAATAAACACTAAATGATTACATTATACAAATTTTTAATACAAATGCAAAATAACATTAATAACTTGTATCTGTAAAACAACACTAAAACAGTTTTATATTTTTATGCCAGCATATGCTTTAGGATGGGGCAAGTTCTTTGAAAGGACACCATTTACTATAATTAGTTCTCTGATTCAAGCAGGAAATACCATTGCAAAGGGTGGTGGCAAGAAAACTTGGCACCTCATCATTAACTATGACACAATAAGGTTGTAAATGTTCTTTAATCCCCAAATTATACATCCTATGAGGTCATTCTTATTATCATCATTATTCATGTTACTTCCAGATGCTCGCCAAGCAATTACAGTAACTGTCTCACTTCTGATGAAAGAGAGAGCTATTCAAGCCAGAGAACATGTACCTCAGAATTGACAATACTACGTAACTGCATTAGCTAGATTTCTTCTCTTGGCAGATCTAGGGATTTCACTAATACCTGGAAAGTAGCCACTTGGGTATTTTATAAGGGGAGGGGGAAACTACTGAACATAGTAGGCAATTATTAGCAAAGGGAAATTTCCTAACAAAATAAAGGTAGGCAGTTAAAATGAGATATTATGAAAAGTGGGTTTTTTGGTCTATGAAATATTATACAGTGTTAACTGCTATTGCAGTGATGGTTGTGATTGTCATGGCTTGTTAGTACATCTAGGACCCTGGGAAACCTGTGAGGTTTAGAGACAGAGTGACTGCTCAGGATCCACAAGACATATCATAGGCCGTGTGGAAGTTCCTGGAGGCCTTTAGGATCCCAACAAACTACTCTAACCTACTTCACTGATTTCGACTAAAGTCTCCAACTGGTAAGACTGGTGGGTCCCTCCAGAGGCCTAATTGTCCAGTTTGTGGCAGACTGATGATTCATGGTTTTTGGATAAGACTACTAGTGCAACAGCACCTTCATCAAGAGTGGGAGATGGAGATGCACAGACGTAGAGCATGGTAGCGCATAAGTGGAAGATGCTTATTTTGCAACTGATAAAAGATAGAAAGCTATTGAAGGAACTCATGTATTCTATCTGTGCCTCTGGGATAGATGGATGTATATATATTTTATATATCTATATATTCAATATAAATATGTTTATCTTTATATTTAAATAAATAAAGACTTCCATTTTTACCCATTCCTCTGATATAAGATGATATAGTAGGTTTAAAAAATATGGCTAGCAAATCCAGGTGTTTGGGTAGAAAGAGTGAGCCATGAGTGTGGATCACAAAGATAAAAACAGCACTGGCTGGAGATGATGAAAGGTAAGAAGGAGAGAGAGGGGGATAAAGGGGCCTGCATAGTTTCTGAAGAAATTCCTGAAAGGTAAGGGGATACATGAGAGAAGTCAAATTTTGTTTTTTAAAAAATAGGAAACAAAGTGATTAAGATGGATATCTATTTGCAGGAGGGCAAGTCATTGGAGTACTAACTTATTTATTCTACATGACTAAATTTTCTGTATTTATTTGTGTGAATAAGTTTTTTTATACTCATTTCTGTGAGAGAATTTTCATGGTGTGTGTATGTGTGTGTGTGCATGTGTGTGTATTAACTTTCAGTAACAATGTATAAGAAATGGGATGCTGCCTTTTGGGCATGCTCAAAATCCCACAGTTCTTCACACAAGAATGAAATGAACAGTCTTTAACCTTTTCTGTTTTTTGAGTTAACCATCCTATTTTTTTCTACCTTCTGACAGATAAGAAATCGGGTGAAAGCTAAATCCTTCCTTATGTTAGAATCATTCTAATATCTAGTAAGAATCATTTTTACATCTAGTAATAAAGGGAACTTTTTTCTAAAAGGACTATATTTTAAAGAATGCCAATCATCTTCCACAGTTTTTCTAGTAAGTTTGTACATACACTGTTATCTAATAGTAGTCAATCAAGGAATAAATCAAGATGACTTTGAAATTATATTTTACCTTACTCTAGTATCTTTATTCATGCTACATCAATTTCTAAATGCAGAAATGCATACCATAGACTTCTCTCCCGAAAAAATTTATGGCTGTAATTTGTCATCTTCAATATTAGAATAAACTGTTGCAGATCTCTGTCAATTGATTTATCAGCTGATGATATTTAAAATGGAGACAGTAACAAGCTGAAGTGAAGGAGAATAAAAGGGAGAGTGTACAAAATTCAAGACGTTGAACTTTGCTTTGGACCGATTTAGAAATTATGTTTTTGTTTGAACAAGGAGCTTGAAACCTGGATTCAGCAAAACTATAGCTATATTTGTCTTCTATGACATGGGTCATGGTGAAGACTCATAAAATGACTCTATAGCACCTGTGAAAACAGAAAGATATCAAAACAATGGTGCTCTGTCCAGTCCTGCTAATGCATATTCGTGTGCACGGGCTCAGCTCTCTCTGGTGTTCATGTCATGGCCCTAGCCTTTCACTACACTGTTACTGGGGGGAAGCAAGCTTGCCTGAAGTTAACTTCCTATTGCTTACCTATTGCTTACTTTTTTTTCTTAGGCAAAGTGCGAATCATAAATAATAATGAAAAATAATGTAATTTCGGGACTTTAAGAAGTTCTCCCCATGTTTAGGTCTCCATGTGGGTGTGTGTGTGTATATGCATGCATTCAGACATGCATCTGAATATGTGGGGTGTGGTGAAGGAGGCAAAAATGATTTTTAAAAATGATCACAAAGGGAAAAGATAGAAGAAACAGTTGGCTTGGGGGTAAAACTCATTCTCTACTGCCTTCACTATGCTGACCACCACGCTCACAGTTCTTACATTGTTTCTCTTACAGTGGGCAGTAACATGACTCCATCTAATATCCCCATCATCAGGGGTTGTGGTGGTAAGAAGAGAAGGTGAGCGTGAGCAAGTGATCATTCTGGAGTGATGTGGTATACGTAGAAAAGGCATCCCACCTCATCCTCTAAAAATACATGTCTTACTGAATTGTCCAATGACAATTCAGGAGAATGATTCAGTTATGACAAGTTTATATAATGAAACATTATGCAGCACATGGACATAATGGTTTTTGAATCATTTTTAATGACACGGAAAAATGCTCAAATGTAATGTTAACTAAAAATAATTGACTATGAAATAGAATGTATGATACGATCTATAATACTAAGAAAATATATAGATGGCGTACATATCTATGCATTTTCATAACTTGCATATGTGTGTTCCTGTGACACATGTATACACACATATGTATACATGCATATATGTGTGTACACACATATATAAAAAACTCTCAACAGTGGTTAGTTATTGGTGTTTGGCTTATGAGTATTTTTTGCTTTCTTTTTAAATGTTTTTCTGTTTTCTAAGCTTTCTATATTATCTTTTACAATCACAACAATTAGAATATTCAAGTATGAAAAAATTCAAATCTAAGAAAGCAAAAGACAGAAACTTTGGAACTATGATGTAAGTGGATGAAATGAGGCCATCACCTCAAATTCCATGTGTCATTTCAAGATCATTGAGTCTGTGCAGAAGTGATCTAAGATGCTACTTTAGAACAGAGTCCCCTGTGTTAAAAAACAAAAAACAACAACAACAAAAAAAAACAAGCCAAAATTGGGCTCACACTGATCAGTTGTAGAATTTAACTATTGTGATACATCTCTCTTTACAAGAAAAATCCTAAAGTAGTTAAGTCCATGGACATCTAATTTACTGGGGTTCTGGTTTTTTGTTTTGTTTTGTTTTTTGTTTTGTTTTGTTTTCTTGTTTTTTGAGACGGAGTCTCACTCTGTCGCCCAGGCTGGAGTGCAGTGGCGCGATCTGGGCTCACTGCAAGCTCCACCTCCCAGGTTCACGCTATTCTCCTGCCTCAGCCTCCTGAGTAGCTGGGACTACAGGTGCCCGCCACCATGCCTGGCTAATTTTTTGTATTTTTAGTAGAGATTGGGTTTCACCGTGTTAGCCAGGATGGTCTCAATCTCCTGACCTCATGATCCGCCCACCTCGGCCTTCTAAAGTGCTGGGATCACAGGCATGAGCCACTGCGCCCAGCCAGTTCTGTTCTTTTTATAATGAAAATGAGCCATAAAGAGATCCTTTTATGGTTTCAAGGGTTTCTTTCAGTGAATCTCTCAGGACCTCTTGCCTCTTCTCTGGAACTGCAAATCTTCATTTCTGACTTCCTGATAACTAGATGTGCTCTAGGCTTTTCAAGCTCAGTGCATCCCAGACAATTCTTTATTTGGCCCTGCTTCTTCTCCTGTGATCATGACTACCATTCAGACATGGCCATTCTCCTATCCACTGTACACTGGGCTATCTTCACCACTCAGTTCTTCCAGTTGTCATCGCAACACCAGCAATGTTTGACAAGTAGATCTCCTCCTGACACAAGTTCAGGCACTTTCATACCAGTCTCCTAACAAATCAATCCAGTCTACTCTGCTGCCAAAGCACCTAATATTTCACTTCACCATTTAGATGACTCACGTGGTTCCATAATGCCCACCAAAATTTATTAGTCGAATGCTACTTCTCCTAAATTCTTGCCTATTTTCTCTCTTAACATCTAGCCAGAAATTCTCTCTCCTTCTTCTCAACACCCGTAATACTAACTCCTCTCCTCACTTTTAACTGTGTACTGTTGGCCCTTTATATCCATGGGTCCTGCATCCATGGATTCAACCATAGCCTGAAAATATTTGAAGAAAAAAAATGGATGGTTGCATCTGTACTGGATATGTACAGATGTTTTCTCTCATCATTATTCCCTAAACATTATAGTATAACAATTATTTACATAGCATTTACACTTTATAAGGTACTATACATAATCTAGAGATGATTTAAAGTACACAGAGGATGTATATGGGTCACATTCCAATACTACACCACTTTATATATGGAAGACACTTGAGCATCTGTGGCTTTTGGTATCTGTGGAGGTGGGGATGGGG